CCACTGAAACCTAACGTCATGTTATGATTTTTGTGTCAAATAAAAGCCTAGTTACTCAAAACGTTCCCTGCTGGCGTGGTTCGTATGTAGTCAGCAAAACATTGAATTATAATCTCGATTGTCTGTGACGTTTACTTGTTTTGCTTGTCAGTATTGGATGGTCTGCGAATTGCAACACGTCAGATTCAGTCAGGGGTCAGTGCCTGAGAGCGAAATGCTTTGCTCATCTTGCACGCGATTCCCTCGGCATCGCTTCATCAGAAGCCCACCAAGTTGGACTCGGAAATGCTCGTACTTGAAGCAGTAGATGATGGGATTGATGAACATGTTGCAGGCCAGCAGACCGGTAAGGGCCTGGTATACGTCACCATCAAAACTGTTGCCGAAGAAGAGAACGGTCATGTAGCTGATTTCGGCCGGCGTCCAGCAGACAACGAACATGATACCAGCAAGCAGCACTGTCACCAACACGTTCTTCTTCGCTTTGCTTAGTGAGTTCAGTTGACCACCAGCTGGATTGCCGACTTTTCGGGTCAGGACGATCAGTATACGAGTGTAAGTGTAGATCAGGATCGGTAGGGGTACTAAGTTCTCCGTCCCTAGCACTTCCACCCCGAGCAAGACCTGAAGGCCTGGCCCCATTGGGATTGCCTGGCACTCTCCCTGACGTGGTTCAAAGACGAAAAGCAAGTGGGAGCTGTACAGGAATCCGACGGCCCAGGAGGTGGCCAGGGCTCACTTCAGCTTAGACTTGGACCAGGTGTTACGATGCTTCACTGGGTAGCAAGTCGCCATGAATCGCTCCAAGGAGATGATGACGAGGTTGTAGGTAGAGGTCACACTGAGGGACCAGAACAAGACGGCAGAGTGCACGGCACGGCAGGTCACCTGGTCGTAGATATTACCTTCCAAGGAGACCACAAAGGGTAACTCCGGGACAACAAAGAAGAAAAAGAACATCAGCCCGTTTAGTGCATCTATGACAGACTGGTGCAGGAGCAGCCACGATTCGTAAAGGAGCTAAACGCTCGACGTCTGAGCAGCATAACGGTGATGACCATGGCATTGCCGAGCACAGCCAGACAGGCGATGATGGTGTTAATAACATCTTGAATCAATCTGCTTGGAAAGTTATCACCTCCGAGATTCGGGACTGATGTGGTCTCAGACGCGTTATACGAAGCCATATCGCACTTGAAAGTCGTGTTGATCAGTTTATCGCACCCCATCGTACGCTTATATATATATACCTAGCGCAAGACAACGGCAACCATGCGTTGCTAGAAGTATCCTTTGTTTGCTTTGTTTCCATCGTTAAAAGGATGAATATTCTATTGTGTAGAAAGTGTCAATAAGTTAAAAGAAATGTTCACCCATCCATATTTTCCTTGCGTGGTTATTTAATTAATAGCGACGAAACGCGCGGCAAGTTGACGGCAGCAGAATGAATTCGATTTGTTTTCAATCTCAACTTGATTTAATATCGGCTGATTGTCTTTGCTGTCCTTTTCACGTGAGTGATATTGCTTTGTTTGTCATTTTTATAGCCAACTGTTCATAGACACCAACAAAAAAACACGACCGTTGGGTTGCCAAGTGCGATAATTACAATCACGCAGATATGTGAACACAGAATTGAACGGTATAGCTCTAGGCTATAAAAAGTCAACCGACATCACACTATAGTGCAGTTGGATGCGACGAGAGGACAGTGATTTACGCAAACATCTCTCGCATACCGTTAGTTTTTCTTCAGTCCAATATACAAAGAAAAATAACAATGGAATTGATTTCGAGTGGATGTTATTTCCTGAATGACGTAAATGCGTAGTCTGGTTCCCTGACCTGACAATTTCCTCCGACGCCCAGACGTCTAAATTGTAGGTCAGGCAGCCTCCGCGGCTAACAATAAACATGACGACATTGACGGCTTCGGCTTCGTTCCGAATTCGCTTTATTACTTATGGCTTTTAATGTTCCGATCAAATTTTTCAAAAACATTACCTGCTTCATATGTCATACAGTTTGAAAGAAAGAATGTAAGGAAACATTGACGAAGGTTGACCCGTACTCTTAAAAGTTAGCGACCCAAATATCATCTTAGCAGGCGAAGCCAAAATGGAGACCACGCCGAGTTTTGGAAAATCCCGGTAACCGTCGCCAGATTCAAATACGCAGCAAAGCTCGCCCCTCGTACGATCCTAGTGCATAATTGATGCACAAAATCGTCATTGATTTTTAAGTTTCTTGATGCATTTATGAATATTAATTATCAACTTAGTTTTTAAATGTTTAATAAGCAAGGTAGTTATTAAATAAAACCTATTTTATACCCAAAAATACCCGGGCGCTATTTGAGATTTCGACGAAATACATTCGGCAAACTTCGGTCATTTTCGGAAAAAGGGGGCTTTTCTCCCGTTTTAGTCACGTGCCGTATATATATTTTGTATAGATACTAGCGGCCACCTGACCTAAGACTCATCAGAAATAGTCAGAATAGTTTGGTCTGGGAACCAGACTAGTAAATACGACGGTAGACTGGAGGTTGGGAAGGGTTTGTTTTCCCCAAAGGAGAAAAGCATGAGGGGGTTGAGAGAGGCACAATTTAACACAAAAACACACCGTTTTGAGGGATGGTTGTGTGGACGTTTATTAATATTGTGCGTCGAAAAGATTGCGAAGCGCATATAATGAGCCCTCAAGCGACAACAGACATAGGCCTATTGGCAAGTACTATTTTGTTCAGACTAATAATATTGGACCATCTACATGACGGTTATTTCTTTGTACATTAGTATACGAAGGATTGAAGTACCAGTCGCAAAAGTAGTGTCGGAAAATTTGGACAAGAAACAATCAAAATATGTCCGTAAATTGCGACAATCTACCCCCAAAGCTTGACTTCTAATTAATGATTAAGGTATCATTAAGATCACGGCAGATACCAGAAGATTATGTACCACAACGACACACAAACGATGATTTTGGGAGAATACGGGGGTTGCATGGAGCTACCATTGTGTTACGTCATGGGCCTGATATAGAGAAACTTACACACAATGCCATATTATATTTGTATTCTGAACCTACTCAGCGCGTAAAGTGCAATAGTAATTGCAAAGGGGACGATTATACAGGGTGAGTAAAAAAAAGAAGGTGAAACCCACCTGACCTAAGACTCATCAGAAATAGTCAGAATAGTTTGGTCTGGGAACCAGACTAGTAAATACGACGGTAGAGGGGAGGTTGAGAAGGGTTTGTTTTCCCCAAAGGAGAAAAGCATAAGGGGAGAGAGAGAGGCACAATTTAACACAAAAACACCCCGTTTTTGAGGGATGGTTGTGTGGACTTTTATATCCTACTTTCAGCTGTTCTTTCCAATTAGCATCATTTCGTTTAAAACGCGTTTTGTAGCCCAATTGGGTGCATTCCAGAACGTTATTCCTTTTAAACGCGTTACAATGTTTTTAAACTATTGCAAATTTTTTTTATATAAGTTAAACCACGTACATGGTTTCACAGTGTACGTTAGTGGGGACGAGAGAATGTTCCATATAGATCCACGCAACACAATTATGTGTGCTTTGACGTCACATTGAAAATCACCCAAAATTGGACACGTTTAAGATTATAGCGATGAGAAATCACTTGTCTTATTATATCATTAAGCCAAAATTAATGTTCAACTAAATGTATTAATATTGTGCGTCGAAAAGATTGTGAAGTGCATATAGTGAGCCCTCAAGCGCCGACATAAGCCTAATGGCAAGTACTAGTTTATTCAGACTAATAATATTGGACCATCTACATGACGGTTATTTCTATGTACATCAGTATACGTGTCGGAAAATTTGTACAAGAAACAATCAAAATATGTCCGTAAATCGCGACAAATCTACCCCCAAAGCTTGACTTCTAATTAATGATTAAGGTATCATTAAGATCACGGCAGATACCCGAAAATTCTGAACCACAATGACACACAAATGATGATTTGGGGAGAATTTGGGGGTTACATGGAGCTACCATTGTGTTACGTCATGGGCCTGATATAGGGAAACTTACACACATTATATTTCTATTCTGAATCTACTCAGCGCGTAAAGTGCAATAGTAATTGCAAATGGGACGATTATATAGAGTGAGTAAAAAAAAAAGTGAAACCCAAATATCGGGACAATTGTTTTCGTGAAGTTCTGCATGAAGCACTGTCTAAATCTAGGATATAAAGCCCAATTCGTAAGCTTTCTTTTAGTACAAGAATCATTCAAATCATTCATGTACTGTTAAAGTTACGGAATTTTAAACACAACCACTGTTTTTAAGTTCTGTCCACGGATCACAAAAAAAGTGTGCGTTCTTTCAGCAAAACGAACACAATTCACATACACACACACAGTCATATATAAGTATGTGATTTTTTTTTCGTTTTGCTCAAAGAACACTAACCTTCTTGTGAACCGTGGACAGAACTTTAAAACGGCGGTTTTGTTTAAATTCCGTAACTTTAAAAGTACATAAGTGATTTAGATAATTCTTGTACTATGGAAAGCTTATGAATTGGGATTTTACATCCTAGATTTTGAAAGTGCTACATGCAGAACTTCATTAAAACAATGGTCCCGACATTTGGGTTTCGCTTTTTTTGACACACCCTGTATTTTATAATCTAGTGTCCCAAAGTATTTAACTGAAACTGACGTCATGTGCGCACATCGTTGTGATTTTTTAATAGAATAAAAACCTACAGTTTCTCAAATGTTCCCTTTACGCGTGGTCCGTATGTAATGCAATGAAACATAATCTCGATTGTCTGTGACGTTTGCTTGTTTTGCTTGTCAATATTGGATTGTCTGTTCTCCGACTGTCTGCGAATTGCAACACGTCAGATTCAGTCAAGGGTCAGTGGCTGAGAGCGAAATGCTTTGCTCATCTTGCACGCGATTCCCTCGGCATCGCTTCATCACAAGCTCGCCGAGTTGGACTCGGAAACGCTTTTACTTGAAGCAGTAGATGATGGGATTGATGAACATGTTGCAGGCCAGGACACCGGTCAGAGCCACGTACACGCCATCACCAAAGCTGTCATCGAAGAAGAGAACGTCGATGTAGTAGATTTCGGCCGGCGTCCAGCAGACAACGAACATGATACCAGCAAGCAGCACTGTCACCAACACGTTCTTCTTCGCTTTGCTTAGTGAGTTCAGTTGACCACCAGCTGGATTGCCGACTTTTCGGGTCAGGGCGATCAGTATACGAGTGTAAGTGTAGATCAGGATCGCTAGGGGTACCAAGTACTCCGTCCCCACCACCACCACCACCCAGAGCAAGACCCGAAGGCCTAACCCCATTCGGATTGCCTGGCACTCTCCCTGACGTGGTTCAAAGACGAAGAGCATGTGGGAGCCGTACAGGAATCCGACGGCCCAGGAGGTGGCCAGGGCTAACTTCAGCTTAGACTTGGACCAGGTGTTACGATGCTTCACTGGGTAGCAAGTCGCCATGAATCGCTCCAACGAGATGATGACGAGGTTGTAGGTAGAGGTCACGTTGAGAGACCAATGCAGGACTCCCGAGTACACGACGCGGCAAGCCAGCTGGTCGTACGCGTTACCTTCCAGAGAGACCATAAAGGGAAACTCCGGGACCACAGTGAAGAGAAAGAACATCAGCCCGTTTAGTGCATCTATGACGGACTGGTGCAGGAGCAGACGATTCGTGAAGGAGCTAAACGCTCGACGTCTGAGCAGCATAACGGTGATGACCATGGCATTGCCGAGCACAGCCAGACAGGCGATGATGGTGTTAATAACATCTTGAATCAATCTGCTTGGAAAGTTATCACCTCCGAGATTCGGGACTGATGTGGTCTCAGACGCGTTAAACAAAGCCATATCGCACATGAATGTCGTGTTGATCAGTTTAACTTACCCCATCGTACGCTCATTATATACCTAACGAAAGACAAACAGCAACCATGCATTGCCAGAACTATCCTTTGTTTGCTTTGTTTCCATCTTTAAATGATGAATATGTTAATGAAGAGCTTCTTATGTTAAAGAAAGTTGAAATAAATTAAAATAAATGTCCACCCATCCATATTGTCTTTGCGTGGTTGTTTTATTATTAGCGGAGAAACTTGATTTAATATCGGCTATTTGTCTTCGCTGTCTTTCCCACATGAACGAATAATCAAATAATTCTTCCCACATGAACGAATAATCAAATCAAGTTATTAATTGCTTTGTCTGTCATTTCTATAACCAACTGTTCATAGACACCCAAAAAAACCGACTGTACCAACAACCGTTAGGTTACCAATTGCGATACTTATTATTACACAGATGTGTGAAAACAGAATTGAATGGTATAGCTCTAGGCTACGAAAAGTCAACTCACACTGGTGCAGTTGGATGCAATGATTTACACAAACATCTCTCTCTACCGTTAGTTTTTCTTCAGTCCAATGCAAAGAAACATCACAATGGAATTGATTTCGAGTGGATGAATGACGTAAATACGACGGCAGAGGGGAGGTAGGGAAGGTTTTTTTCCCCAATGGTGAAAAGCATAAGGGGGAGGAGGGGGAAGTACTTTTGACACTTTTGACACTTTTAACTACGAGAATTGGCGTTTAACGCGTCATATATAGAGTGAACCACGCGCCATATATAGAGTGAGCACCAATGTACATTTACGAGGTGCACCGAGCTGAATCGATCCATGGTTTTCCCATTCCCCTTATAACCTAATCTATGGAATAGTGCGTTCGCGCAGATTCGGCGATTAATTCTGCAAAACAAAACTGCGGACAGCTTCTATCGTGTCTTCCATAACCCGTTGTTGGCAGCCAAATTGACAAATGAACAGCGAAGTCCACACTCCTGACCGAAATGACGTCACCGTTTCTAAAGTCGACTCCGATTGGCTGGCGCGCGGGATTGCATTATATTTGCATGCCCTGCAGGACGTAATTCAGACGTTCGTTCGTGTGGCTCTGCACACCAGACTGGCCATACCTCAACCTTGATAACAAATTTGATCATTCATCTTGGTTAACGAATCGTGTACTACCAACTAAAGTTGTTCGGCCGTTTTTTACCCATTTGTTTCCAAGGCCTATTTCCATTTTGTGCTCATGAATAGGCCACACAATGGGTTTGGTCATAGTTTCAAACAATCTACGAAGTTGGGTTCGAGTCCCATCCGAGTACTTTTTTCCAAGTTTCATTCGGGAGGTAACACACTGAGTATAGAGTGTTTATACGTCGGTGAAGGGCAAAACCTTTTTGATTTACATCACCGGTCCCGACGCAAAATTCCATCTTATGAATAGTTAATGCGGTACCCGTTGCTATGTACATGTACATCAGATTCGAACCAGCCAAACGATCCCAACCTCGTCCCCAGGGTGTCGAGCAGTACACGCCCAGCACTACCTGCTCTCTCACCCTGGTATTGGATCATTTGCATGTGCAAGATTTTTGAACACGTTTGCAAATGAGGAATAGTCTGGTGCCTGCATGTGCGTTACATTAGCGTTTGTTTTTGTGTGCGGTGTCTGGGGTAAAAACAGCTTCAATTATGAAAACACGAATTTTTTTTGTTCAAATGTTACAATCATGCAGGCCCGTCAATATGGAGAATTACATTTCATATTAATATGAGCAAACTGGAAAGAAAAGCAGTATTATTGAGAAGGTGTGGACGTTATAATTACAATGATCGTGAAAGCACGTAATGCACATTGGAAATAACAACACCAACTACACGATATAAATCCATTATTAGCAAATTGCGGTATCGAATTAGGATACAGGAAGAAAGTTTCCTATCCAGGGCTTACTATTGGAAACGAGGTTGGAAATAAAGTAAGCACTGGGGACGAGGTTGAAACGATCCCATTAGCTCGGTGGTCGAGTGGTAAGACAGATGCACTAACAAGCGGAAGGTCGCGGGTTCGAGTCCCACCCGAGTATTTTTTTTCCAACTTTCACTCGGGAGGTAACACACTGAGTATACAGTGTTTATACGTCGGTGAAGGGCAAAACGTAATTTGATTTAAATGTACGAAGTTGTTTTTTTCCTTCTCCACACTCTGAGTGAGGGACACAGGGTTACATGCACACCTGGGAGAGGGGTGCTCCAACCCCAGCCCCTGATGTGTTCAGGACAAAAGGCGTATGGTCAGACTAGCAAATCGGACGCTACTAAAACTGAACCCATTTCCAAGGAGTAAAGCTATGGACCGGGCTGTTTATAAATATATTCAATTATAAAGAGAGTTACTTTGGAGGGAAAACACTCAGATGTAAATTGGATTGAATGATGAAGTTCCTTTTAGTCTTCACTCAATTGGAAATAAGACAGCAATAACCGAACAATACTGCCGGATGCGGGAATAATTAAAGGGCATGGTTTAACATTATCTGTGAAGGTAACGCCGCCCAAATACATGAACATGGGGCCCTAGAAAGGGAGACCATTGGCGTGAACTACATGTTGACATTATATGTGTCGAGTACAAACCCTGCTTCCATTGAATTATCAATGGAAACATGATACATAATCACATCTGACGTCAATAACTGTTACTTTTCCCCCAGGATAAATGTAAAATTAGTTTTGGAAAACTTACTTTTTCAAATCGTTGTTTAAAATTACGCCATGGAAAAAAGCGTAAAAATATTACGGCTGCCGATTGTTACTATTTCAACTTATTCTATGTAAACAAGATTTTTCCCCAAGACCAGCCCATGATGGTGTATCACGATATTAACACGAACGCAAATTAATTCCGTGGCGTCAGGTATTCGCGGTGTCACAAAGGGCGAATTGAGCACCTTTCAACTAACCTAACAAAAGAGAAATTTCACCCCTCATCTAACTGCGCAATAGCCGTAGCCTTGTTGCCATTTTGTGATTGGACGATTAACGACGTTCGGTTGTTCGCAGTTTAATAACTCCAACGTACGCGCGTACGACGTGCGTTTCATGTATTGTTTTTATATTGGCAAAATAAATATGAATGAATGAATGAATGAATGAAGTAAAGAAAGGGGTTGATTTAGTTTAAAATTAAAACAATACTTAAAAAGAAACCAGGGATCAAATTTTATACGCAAACGTGTATATGTATAAATTAATAAATTTAGATGCATAAAATAAGGGGTTTTTGTTCTAAAGAAAGTATGTATGTGTATAGGCCTATATAAAATTAATAAATTTAGATGTATAAAAAAAATCTAAAAGAAAGAAGTTATTCTTCCATTCCCAACTGCTTTATGCACAATTGTCCAACGAATCATTGCGATGTGTTTGGATAAGATCATGCCATTTCCATTTTACATCGAACTGTCAAGATCTTCACACGTATGGGTTTTGTGAAATGATAAAGTTGTTCCTGCGCGTACGTCACAAAAAAATCATGCAAGATCTGGTCTTGTATAAGCATGTACACGCCCGTACGTAATGTACATGATTACGTACATCCATTGAACACAAAGTCGTTATTGTCCAATCACAAAATGACAACAAGGCTATGGCTATTGCGCAGTCTCATCTACCTCGTCCCCATTACATCGGGCGGTACGCTACCACAATCGACCTTATGCGTATAAGTGGCCACCTTAGAAGGCATCTTTTTTATTATCATTCAGTAACAATGAATGCACAAAAGTTCACTTCTGTTGATCCCAGCCAAACAAAGGTATACGGGTGGCCTCTAAAATGGCTGATAAGCATAGGGTCTATAGCTACTCTTTGGCCCCATTGGATCAATTTGTTCATTATAATAATTAGGTGCGGAATAGTCAGATACCTTTACAATGCTGCGAGTCAATGTTTGTTTTTGAATGTGTTCTCTATGTATATGCACGGAGTAAGACTAAAGAAGGTCCTCGGAACACAGATTCATCGGATCGGAAAACAAATGATTTTTTCAAAATGCCACTGCAGCGACGTAGAACGGTCATTTTTATTGGGGTGGGGGTAACAATTTCTTGAAAAGGGCACTTGCACATCCGTGGTGAAATGTAGACACGGTTTGGACAAGGCACCCGGAACGGCCGATGGCACAAAAAAAGGGCACCACTTCTTTTTATAAAGGGCACTTGTTAAGAAAAAAAGGGCACTTCTTAAAAAAGGCACTCTTTACAAATTATTGGGTGGGGGGGGGGGGTTAAGCACTGGTGAAAAAAATGGCATTTGAATGGAAAAGGGCAGTCTTTACAAAATATTGGGAGGAAAATACCCCCTTAACCCCCCCCCCCCTTGCTGGCTACGCCTATGCACCGTGACGTAATCACAACATCCAACATACACCATTGCACATAATATAATAATGTGATGAGCAAAATAGAAATTGGAAATTCCCTTTTTAATAAGATTGGACATAAATAATTCACAATGAACGTTCAAACACCTAATACATGATGTACATTAGTGTGATCCAAATCCACTTCCTGTAATTGAAGATCGAATGAGAATACATAGCAACATATCATCCCGACGTCTACGCATGGAATCGAGGTTAAACAGTGACCCAGGACGTTTCAGGACGCGTGAAGAATGAACTGGTTTCCATAACCTTTGTGCATTATATCAAATCAGTAGGTCTTTTCCAGCTTATTCCCTCAAAGTTGAGAAGTTTTTGTAGCAAGTCAAGAGGCAGTAGGTCAGCTTTCATCAAACCTTTTATGAGTTCAAGGCATAAGTTATAATATCAAGGGCGGATCCAGAACACAATTTTGGGAGGGGCCAAAAAAAATTTGGTCCCCCAAAAAAGTGGGTCAAAAAATACGGCGTGGGGTTCGGGGCCCGCTTAAGGGCCCCGAAAAAAATTTGGATTCTAGATGCTCTGTGGTGCGATCTGAGGCAATTTCTGACCACTTTA